ACCATGTCCTCACTAGATTACACTGCTTCAATGCCTCACAGCACTAGTCAGCCAATCGTATCTGCAGATTCCAGATTCTGTATTGCAGACTCACCCTCATTCAACCAACAGCATATGAAAAATATTTGGGGGGGGGGTTATGTTTCAGCCAATATGTACCATGTAGTTAGGCCTTCAATGACTGTAGGCCTAAATATGTACACCCTTTATTTTTCTTGTCATTATTCCTTAAACAAACTATTTACATAGCATTTACATTGTATTAGGTATTATAAGTAATCTAGATTTAAAGTATATGGGTAGAGCCCTGGCCGGTTTGGCTCAGCGGTTAGAGCGTCGGCCTGCGGTCCTGAGAGACCCGGGTTCGGTTCCCGCTAAGGGCGCGTACCTCGGTTGCAGTTTGTCCCCGGCCCTGGTTGGTTGTGCGGGTGGCAGCCACTCGATGTGTTCCTTTCACATCGATGTTTCTCTCTCTCTCTCTCTGTTCCTCTCTCTCCCTCCCACTCTACCTGAACAAAAAATGGAAAAATGTCCTCGGGTGAGGATAAAAAAAATAAATAAATAAATAAAGTATATGGGTAGATGTGTATAAGTTATATGCAAATACAATGCCATTTTTATATAAGGGACTTGAGCATCCCAGGATTTTGGTATCTGTGGGAGGTCCTGGAGCCAATCTCCTGAGGATACCAAGGGAAAGCTGTATATGCTTGCCAGCATGTTTATTTATACTCATAACCCAATCCTGCAATTCCAGAACTGGCCAAAAGGAAAGACAACTGTACAAGTCCCAAAGGACACATCTGACATTTAGTTTACTCAGTCAGCAGACAGTTAGAAGCTCTGCAAGTCCTATGCTTTTGATTAGCAACTGTTTTAAAGGGTCAAGTACAAAAGAAACAATGTTCACAGTTTGATGGCAGTCTTAAACTAACATGGGCTACTGGGCACCCAAATAAGTTTCAAATCTCTGCTCTGTCCCTTAACAGCTTATAGAGTTTGGACTAATTCTTCAATCTATTAGTCCCAGTTTCCTTCTCTACAAAATGATCCAATCTTATAGAACTCCTGAGAAAATTTTACATTTTTATGTGAAAAAGCACTTAATTACCCTCAAAACATAAGATAAGTATTAGCAAGAACTGTATATTTGGCTGAAGGTATACATTGCATATTAATTAATTTTCATAATTTTCATAACTTCCTGACCTTTGATCATGGCTGTAAATCATATAATAAAAAATTCTTGAGCCCTGGCTAGTTTGGCTCAGTTAAAGTGTCGGCCTGTGGTCCAGAGAAACCCGGGTTCGGTTCCCGCTAAGGGCATGTACCTCAGTTTCAGTTTGTCCCTGGCCCTGGTTGGGTCGTGTGGGTGGCAGCCACTCGATGTGTACCTTTCACATCGATGTTTCTCTCTCTCTCTCTCTCTTCCTCTCCCTCCCTCCCGCTCTATCTGAACAAAAAATAAAAGAATGTCCTCGGGTGAAGGTAAAAAAAAAAAATTATTGATAACCCATCAAATTTAATGTTGTAAGTAGAGGAAAACATTGTTTGGTTTATGTTAAAAAAAACTGCTTATACTACTATCCTTTATGTTAGCAAAATACAAATGCTTATTATAATTTTGAAAAGAAGTTACACAGAAATTTTAAGAAATCCACTCCTAAAATCTACTAACATATCACAGTTGGGGTCATGTGGGTGGCGACCAGTCAATGTGTCTCTCACACATCGATGTTTCTCTCTCTCTCCCTCTTACTCTGTCTGAAGATAAATGCAAAAATGTCGAGTGAGGATTACAAAAAACAAAAAAACAACTCTATAAACATATAGGTTTGCAACTAGGCTAAACACTGACATTAAGAGTCTAAAGATTGCCCTGGCCAAGAGAATCCCCATCACTTCTGGCTGAAAAAACCAGCGGGAACTGAGGCTTAGGGAAGCTGAGGCAGCTGGAGCCCCAGGCAGCTCCTCTTAAAGGGCCCGGTGCACAGACTTAGGACTTACTCGAACTTGCTCCCTCTAAGCTCAGAGGGGAAGCAGTTTGAGGGGCGCCAGAGACATACAGGGAAGAACTGAGCTGTTTGGCATTGGACCGAGGGCTGGAGAAAGGGCTTTCTCCTGGACAGAAGTGCCATGAGAGGCCTTTGTTCCTTTGGTGAGCCCTTCCCTGGGGCAGCAGACAACCGCCATATCCGGGACTCCAGCAACCTAGCTCACACTGTTTGCCCTGAGGCCTTGCCCGACCCAACCTTCAGGCCCACCGAAGCTGTTGCTAGTTGCTTTACTGTAGGATTGGCCTGTCTTGGATCCTGCTTCAGGTTTTCCTAAATTCTTTCAAACAAGCAGCATCTGGGCTCAGCTAGACCCATACCTCTCATTAAGTAATACATAGAAACAAACACAGGGAGGCAGCCAAAATGAGGAGACAAAAGAATAGGTCCCAAATGAAAGAACGGAACAAAACTCCAGGAAAAGAGCTAAGCGAAATGGAGGTAAGCAACCTAACAGATGCTGAGTTCAAAACACTGCTTATATGCTTATAAGCATCCTTATAAGACCCTCAATGAACTTAGCAAACCTCAATGAACTTAGCGAGAACCTCAGCGAACTTAGTGAAGGCCTCAAGAGCATAAAAAAGGACCAGTTAGAAATGAAGGAGGCACTAACTGAAATAAAGAATAATATAAACAGATTCAGTAGTACAGTAGGTAAAGCCAAGAAGCAAACCATTGATTTGGTATATAAGAAAGCAAAAAACACCCAACCAGAACAGCAAAAAGAAAAAATACTCCAAAAAAATGAGGAGAGTGTAAGAAGCCTCTGGGACAACTTCAAGAGTGCCAACATTCACATCTTGGGGGTGTCAGAAGGAGAAGAGAGAGAACAAAAAATCGAAAACCTATTTGTAACAATAATGGCAGAAAAATTCCCTAACTTGGTGAACGAAACAGACATATAAGTCCCGGAAACACAAACAGTCCCAAACAAGATGAACCCCAAGAGGCCCACACCAAGACACATCATCAAAATGCAAACGGTTCAAGACAAAGAGAGAATCTTAAAAGCAGCAAGAGAAAAGCAGTAAGTTACCTACAAGGGGGCCCCCATAAGACTATCAGCTGACTTCTCAAAAGAAATTTTGCAGGCCAGGAGGGAGTGGCAAGAAATATTCAGAGTGATGAAAAGCAAGAACCTACAACCAAGATTACTCTATCCTGCAAAATTGTCATTTAGAATCGATGGCCATATAAAGAGTTTCCCAGACAAGAAAAAGCTAAAGGAGTTCATAACCACCAAACCATTTTTATATGAAATGTTGAAGGGTCTTCTTGAAGAAAAAGAAAAAATATGAACAAACAAAATGGCAATGAATACATATCTATTGACAATTGAATCTATAAACAAAATGAACAGGCAGAAGAGAAATATTCTCATAGATACAGAGAACATTTTGTTGGTTGCCAGATGGGAGGAGGGTTGGGGGAATGGGTGAAAAAGGTGAAGGGATTAAGAAGTACAAATTGATTGCTAGACTGATAAACCTCAAAGGGAAGGGGGATTGCAAGGTGGGAAGAAATAAACCAAAGAACTTTTATGCACTTAGCATAACCAATGGACACAAACAACAGTGTGGGGAAAGGCAGGAGGGAGGCAGGAGGGGGGAGGAGGGGGTCAATGGGAGAAAAATGAGGAACATCTGTAATACATTCAACAATAAAGTTAAGTTTAAAAAAATAAAAATTAAAAAATAAATAAAGATTGCCCTGGCCGGTTTGGCTCAGCGGTTCAGTGTGGGACTACAGACCAAAGAGTCTTGGGTTCCCTCATTTGCAGTTCAGTGCCTGGCCCTGGTCAGGGTGGTGCAGGAGGCAACCGGTCGACATGCCTCTCTCATATCAATGTTTCTCTCTCTTTCTCTCTCTCCTTGCCCCTCCCACTCTATCTGAAGATATATGGAAAAGTGTCTTCAAGTGAGAACTCAAATAAATAGTCTAAAGACTGCCTGGCTGGTGTGGCTCAGAGGACTGAGTGTTGTCCCATGGACTGAGAGGTCCAGGTTCAATTCCCAGTCAGGGCACATGCCCAGGTTTCTGGTTCCATCCCCAGTGGGGAGTGTGCAGGAGGCAGCCAATCAATATTTCTCTTTCACATTGATGTTTCTCTCTCTCTCCCTTCCTCTCTAAAAGAATCAATTAAAAAAAAAAAAAAAACATATTTAAGAGTCTAAAGACACACTGGCGAGTATGGCTCAGCGGTTAGAGTGCTGGCCTGTGGACCAGAGAGTCCTGGGTTCGATTCCCGCTAAGGGCACGTATCGCGGTTGCAGTTTCTCGCCGCCTCCAGTTGGGGTTGTGTGGGTGGTAACCAGTTGATGTGTCCCTTTCACATCGATGTTTTCCTCTCTCGCTCTTCCTCCCTCTCTAACTGAAGATAAATGCAAAAATGTCCTAAGGTGAGGATAAAAAAAGTCTAAAGATGACATGTGCCTCCTCCTGCCTTGAAACTGTTAAAAACAAAAAAACAAAAACCCAGCAGATGAAAAAATAAATGAATTAAACCTCTCTTATCCCATTCTAGCAGTGACGTGCTGTGAAATCACACAATCTTCATTCTGAACCTTTGCTATTCTCATTACCACTATGAAAATGATAAATTTTCAACAAAATATGACAATAGAATGAATAGGAAATTAGTGCCTAGAACCAAAACATCTCCTATTAATCATAATAACTATGAGCAGTCCACATTTGTATTTTATATCTCCCCCTTCCCACAAAACAATAGTGGTGCATTCTGTTTGCTTTGCAGGTATAATTTCAACAAACTCCATGAATAATTTCACCACTGCTTTTATTCACTGTAATAGTAACCAGGAATCCTGTCACACAGACTGAGGTAAACTAGCCAACCACCAGCTGTTGTTTTTTGCAGCACAAGCAGAAACACACATGTACTATGGACAGTACAGAGCTAAAACTTTGCTTATGAAAATTTACCTGTCCGTGTATGTCTCCACACACTGTTACTGGTGTTGATACTGGCTGAACATTTGACTCTTCCAAGAGGAGGTCACAAACGTAGTCACATAGCCGCTGTAAGAAAAGATAAAATGCAACCTTTTACTACAATATTAAACTAAGGCTCACATGACAAAAAGACAAGAACTAATACTTATATGGTTTGATAGGAAAGAAAACTGCCCTTTGAGCCCTGGCCAGTTTGGCTCAGCGGTTAGAGTGTCGGCCTGCGTTCCAGAGAGACCCGGGTTCGGTTCCCGTTAAGGGCGTGTACCTCGGTTGCAGTTTGTCCCTGGCCCTGGTTGGTCGTGTGGGTGGTAGCCACTCGATGTGTCCCTTTCACATCGATGTTTCTCTCTCTCTCTCTTCCTCTCTCTCCCTCTCACTCTGTCTGAACAAAATGGAGAAGTGTCCTCGAGTGAGGATTAAAAAAAAAAAAAAAAATACAGGCCAAACATGGCATATTTGTTCTTTGGAACTAACCTTAAGCTACATGAAAGTGCGTGAGGTAGGGTTTTAAAAAATGCAAATAGTAGGTTGTAAACTTCGGGAGCTAATTACCATAAACATAATCCCAGAATCATCAAAGGTTAGTTTTTTTTCTTTTTAATTTTATTTCTTTATTGATACAATGGTGATTTTTTTTTTTTTAATCCTCACCCGAGGATATTTTTTCATTTTTTGTTCACGTAGAGTGGGAGGGAGAGAGAGGAACAGAGAGAGAAAGAAAAACATCGATGTGAAAGGAACACATCGAGTGGCTGCCACCTGCACGACCCACCCAGGGCCGGGGACAAACTGCAACCGAGGGACGCGCCCTTAGCAGGAACCGAACCCAGGTCTCTCTGGAACGCAGGCCGACACTCTAACCGCTGAGCCAAACTGGCCAGGGCTGGCCTGTATTTTTTAATAGTCTTTCATTACCACCTTCTTTCTCCTCATCTTGCAAGAAGCAAGAGCACTATTCTTTTTAGGTTAGCTTCACAGAGTAGCAATTAATGCTTTAAATTTTCTTTTTCTGCTCTGGCTGGTTTGGCTCAGCGGTTAGAGCCTCGGTCTGCAGTCCAGAAAGACCTGGGTTCGGTTCCCGCTAAGGGCGCGTACCTCGGTTGCAGTTTGTCCCCAGCCCTGGTTGGGTCGTGTGGGTGGCAGCCACTCAATGTGGCCCTTTCAGGCTGATGTTTCTCTCTCTCCCTCCCACTTTATCTGACAAAAAAAAATGGAAAAATGTCCTTGGGTGAGGATAAAAAATAAATAATAAATAAAAAGAGTCCTAACTTCCATCAGTGAAGGTCAGAGCCCATACCATGAATGTAATTTAAATGTTCCCCCCAACATATCCTCTGACACAAGCCACCAAATAAGCTCACCTCTCACTCTTCATTCTACAATGCATCTCTAAGAGAGCAAAGTTCTGTTTCCTACAATGTTGATCTTTCTATATGCTCACTCTCAAAAAAAAATGTTGGTTAGTGGTAAATTTGAGGGCTCCACTGTTTACACCTTTTTAAAGGTCAATTATTAGCCCTGGCCAGTTTGGTTCAGCGTTAGAGTGTCAGTCTGCGGTCCCAAGAGACCCGGGTTCAGTTCCCACTAAGGGCATGTACCTCGGTTGCAGTTTGTCCCCAGCCCTGGTTGGGTCGTGCGAGTGGCAGCCACTCGATGTGTCCCTTTCACATAGATGTTTCTCTCTCTCTTCCTCTCTTTCCCTCCCAATCTACCTGAACAACAAAAACAAAAAATAAATGTCAATTATTAAAATGTTACCCAAACAAACCTATTATAAACTCCACCCTGAAGTAAGTCAGGTTGTCCTTAAATATATGTATTTTTTCTTTATTGATTTTAGAAAGAGGAAGGGAGAAGGAGAGAGAGATAGAAACATTGATGAGAGAGACTATCAACTGGCTGCCTCTTGCATGCCCACCACTGGGGATCTGGCCCAAAACCTGGGCATGTGCCTTGACCGAGAATCAAACTGGCGACCTCTTGGTGCATGGGTTGACGCTCAACCAGTGACCCACACCAGCCAGGCATCCTTTAAAGAGGCCTGTCCTGCCCGGTGTGGCTCAGTGGTTGAGGTTGCACCAAGAGGTTGCCAGTTCGATTCCCAGTCAGGGCATATGCCCAGTTTGTGGGCCAGATCCCCAGTAGGAGGCATGCAGGAGGTGGTTAATCGATGTTCTCTTTTATCAATGTTTCTATCTCTCTCTAAAATCAATCAACCAACCAACCAATAAAGAGGCCTGTCCTCACCCTGCATTATCCTGCCCTCCTTTCCCACTTGCTTTTTCCCAAATTACACTTTACTGTCATGCCATCAACCTGTAGTGAGGGACATGGTAGGAAACAGGCTTCTATAGATCTTGTCACTGCACACTATAAACAGGGTACATAGGATGCTGTGATTAAACAGCTGCCTTCAAGGAAGACCCAGGGAAAGAATGCTTCTATCAAGGATAAATGTGATTTCCCAGAGAAGCTTATTTTTATCATCTTCAAGACTATATGAATTTTCTAACTGATCATTTCCCATCTTTCAGTAGGCTCCTAGAAAGCTTAGGACCTAATTTCAAAGAAGGAAGATAATCATCCCAGCTTTTATTTTACATATATATTTTACTTTTACTGTTGGCTTTATCTTGGTTTCCTATTTTTATTATCTCTGCCTCATTTTTCTTACTTATTCTGAATATAATTTATCTTGCTGTGTTGCATGCATCTTTGTAAACCACTCTGTATCCTTTCGGAACAAAATGAGTTATCATTTAATTAACATTTTAAACTAATCACAGCACAGATTCCTGAGGGACTCTCCATGGTTCCCATATTTGAAATGTGCCAGAATTGGCACTCACACATGACTGGCTCTCCTAGCCCATAATGCCTCCTCAATTGCAAGGAGACTGGTCCATACCCCCAGTACTGACCTGAAATTAACAGTAGGCTGTAAAGAACATCACTGTGAAACCCTGACAATCTCAAAGGCCAGTAAATGTCTGGAATACACATGTCAACTACTGAGACAGCATCTTGAACCTTAGGCCAGGCATACTGAGTAAAGTAACAGCTGACTCCTGTAACTGTCACTTCTGCAGTCCTAACTGAGGATTTAGTTACGTCTCCAAAGCCATTGCCTCTCATCTCTCCAGTTCAGCAATAGCTTACAAGTCTCATATCAAGCAAACACAAAAATAAGAAGTCTATGAAGCCCTGGCCAGTTTGGCTCAGCCCATGGACCAAAGGGTTGCAAGTTCAATTCCCAGTCAAGGGCATGTACCTGGGTTGCAGGTTCCATCCCTAGCCCAGTCAGGGAGTCTTTCTCACATTGATGCTTCTCTCTCTCTCTCTCTCTCTCTCTCTCTCTCTACCCTCCTCCCCCGCTCTATCTAAAAATTAATGGAAAAATATCCTCAGGTGAGGATTAAAAAAAAAAAAAAAAGACCAAGTCTATGAAATCTCAGTACAAACTGTACATATGTCAGCCATCTATACATACAGTGGCCTCACAGAGCCCAGCCTTGCCATGGGAGAAGCCCCTCCAAAGCCCTTCACAGCTTTGTTCCGCTGCTTGGTTTATAGAAGTGTGGTTACTCTTACTGCTCCAAGACAGGCACTAAGGCAAGATTCTTAATCTTATCCCAAATTTAGGGCAAACTCTACCCATTTCTCCCCATGGTGCCCAATTAACTCCTAATCTCTGAACAAGTACGAGTTCATGGTCCCCATTCTTAGGATACCCTGTTTCCCTTGTCTACCCTTTCCTTAAGATACTCATTCATGGCCCTGGCCAGTTTGGCTCAGCGGTTAGTGTTGGTACGTGGACCAAAGAGTCACGGGTTCAATTCCAGTCAAGGGCACGTACCTCGCTTGCAGTTCGGTCCCCGGCCCTGGTCAGGTCATGCGGGAGGCAACCAGTCGTTGTGTCTCTCTCACATCCATGTTTCTCTATTTCTCCTTCCCACTCTGTTTGAAAATAAATAAAAAAATATCCTCAGGTGAGGATTAAAAAAAGAAAAAAGATACTCATTCATGGTTCCATTCTATTCTTTGCTCCTGTCCCGTTCCCTCTTGTCCCTCAATTACACTGGGTTTTAACTTCTCAACCACAGCACTACTACTGATAATTATTTTTGTGGGGGGCTTCTGTCCAGTGCGGTATAGGATGTTCAGCAAAATCTCTGACTTCTACATCCATTAGATACCTACCTACAATAACCTCCCTTCCTCCAGCTGTGACAAACAAAAATGTCTCCAGACATTGTCAAATATCCTCTTGAGTGCAAAATGACCCCCAGTTGAGAACTACTCATCTAGACCTTTCTCCTGAGTTTAATACTACTAGAACAGAGAGTGCCTGGAGCACACATGGCAAGCAATAAGTGTTTGTTAACTAACCAACCTGTGTATCCAAGTCTTCTGAATATCTCTATCTCTGTCTTGACTTGGCCACATGTCAAATCCAGTATGCCCAAACCAAACCTTGCATTCCTTAACCTAGTTATCATACTAACTAAATAATCCATATCAGAAACTAAGAGATTACACTGTACTCTTCCCTCTCCCTCATCACCTAGACCTACTCTGTCAACAGGTCCTATTATACGTCATGTTCTCATGTCACCTGGTCTATTGCTTCTATGACATTCTTGCCGCATTCCAATTCATGATCCACAATGTTGCCATAATATTTCTAAAACCTACCATCACTTCCTTTAAAACCTCTCAAGGGCACTCCTCTGTTTATGTCAGTGTTTCCCAAAATACATTCAGATACCATCATCATGATTTTGTCATACTCCTACCACATACAACAGTGTATTCCTGTAATAGTTTTCTTTGAATCAACCTTTTTTTTTAGTCACATTTTAAACAGTATCAAAATGTCACAGTATGATGTTTTCCCCTAAAATATAAAAACATTTCTAAGTGTTTAATCATGTACTACCTAAAAGATAAAAATCTAAGTGTATCAGCCTAGTTTGCCATAATCTGTCCTCTGCCTGTCTTCCCAGCACCACTTCTAGGCATACCAACTGCCTCAGATTCCCCAAATCAACCATGTTCTTTCTTTC